TCATTTAAGGCAATTCCCTTGTCTTGCACGGCGCATCACCTATTGCGCATAACATTGCGACTTTAAATTTTACCAATTGCCTGGAAAAAGGTAAAAAAGGCTCCCTTTATAGTCCAAATCATTTTAATAGCGATTCTGATAACTCCTCCCTCTGTTATTTTTACTTCCTTTTTTTTATGAGAATAATCACTTGATAGCATTTTCTAGTATATGTAAATCCATTGTATTTATTTTGAAAAGATGGATAAATAAAGCTTATTATTTCATTGATCTAACAGCAAAATAGCTTACTCGTAGGAATTAAAACAGTAAAAGAACATTAATATTATATCATCTCGCGAGACAGAATTACTTGGCGTGATTTTCCTGTCATAAAAGCGAGAAAATCAATTTGCATTGTTAACTCCCTAAACAGCTATTTTCACTGCATTTCCGGACTCTTCTGCCCTTATAAAGCTAACTTTTTCGCAGGAAAACACTTGCAGTAGGTATTATGTAATTTTGTTTCGTTTGACTCTTGAGGAAAGGTGAAACAAAACTTCCTGTCGTACTGAAAGCGCTCAGCTTCCTAGCAGATATGGAATATCATCACAAGGATGTTAATACTATGGTCAAGTCAAAAACTCTACTACAATCACAAAGGACAAATATCTTACCTAATCTTTCTCTCTTGGCTTTTAAAAACACTTCCCCGGTGCCGTGGATTCGCAATTCGATTTCCGCATGATTTAGCTGATATCGGGAGTAGACAGGGCTATGAAGGGTGCTCTCTAGCTACTTTGGCTCAGCTTAAAACGTTAAAACAACTGTTTCAAATAGAATTTATCGCAATACGGGCCTCGCCTAACGAATACAACATTTTCTTGCTTAAAACTATGGTTTTAAGCTTGGAATCTTTACAGCAGGTAGTAATTCTGGCTCAAATGGATTTCATCAAGAAGTCTGGGCGTGCCGCCTGAAGACCGAAGAGGGAGACGACATCTCTACATATAAAAATTCTTTGATTTAAAATATTTCGAATTAAGCGCCGTCTTTATTCATTCAACTACACATGGATATCATCACCTCAGAAGTCTGGGCGGGCCTCCTAAAGACCATAAACTGAGAGGAAATCCCTACTTATAAAGACTTTTCCGTTTAAAATATTGCCTCACATATTTAGAATTAAGCGCTATCTTTATTCGTTCAGCTACAAAATTAATGGATATCGTCACCTCAGTAGTCTGGGTGTGCCGCCTGAAGACCGAAGAGGGAGAGGACATCTCTACATATAAAATCTCATTGCTTTAAAATATTTAGAATTAAGCGTTTTTTCCAATAATTGTGCTACAAATGGGAATCATCACCTTAAAAGTCTGGACGTGTGGCATGAAGAGGAAAAGGAAAACCCTACATATAAAAACATTTCGGTTTAAAATATTTAGTCTCAAAAGCTATCTTCAATAATTCTAACTAAAATGGATTTCATCACCTCGAGGAAATTCCTAGATAAAAAAAATTCGGTTTAAAATATTTAGAATTAAGCACGATAATCAATAATTGAAATACGAATGGAAATCATCTGTTTTCTATGCTTTACACTGTTTATTCATAAATTGCGTTGCTGGCGTGCCACGTAATCTCTCTAATTTTAGCGGGCTTCACCTTATAGGTACTTTCGCGAGCTTTCTAGGGATCTCTACGGCTTCCTTCCTTAGTTTGTCGGGACATCGCCGCCTTTAACTTGGTTAGTATCTGCTTGGCTTTTCTTTATGCATGTCGTTTTTTAATAAAATATCCCAGGACTGGTTAAGAAACATCGTCTGAAAGCTGTAGCAAGTGTTTATGTGTCATTACAGTTATAGGTACTATAAAAATGCCACGAAACTCAATACTTTGCTTGTGAGTGCTTGTGCTGCTTTGCTCGACAAAAATACCCCAACAAATGCAAGAGCAGTGGTTTCAGTTCTTTCCAGAAGTTCCTCATGTATGCAGACTAAAAAAGTACCGAAAATGGCTAAACGGCAACATGTCCTTATGGAAATGTGGGCGGCGGTACCAAAAAAAAGCAAGCAAGTTATTTTCTATGTTGTTTGTAAACAAAATGTGTATTTCATATAACAGCAATAACACTGATCACCTTTAGTAACATAAACATTTGGAATTTAAGTCAATTGCAATGCGTATGTGGACCGCTAAAATGATCTATGTATTTAAAACACGTGTAGTGTTTCAGTCTAATCTTTGTAAGTTTCGATCTGCAGGTAGAGTAAAGTCGACAACAGCTGCTTCTTAGCGTAACTTTTCTTTCTTGTAATTGGCAGGCGATTAAAAAGGTAACATTTCCACGTACTTATCAGAAATAAAAAACAGCAAAAAGGTATCTCCTTGATCTAGAGAGGCATCTTACGGTCACTTTCCTTTCATAAAAAAACGTCTTTTACCCGAGTTCGAAAAAAAGTATATTATTTTTCGCATTTTTGTAGCGTTTCGGGACAAAAAAGCCCTTTCATTGGAGCTTACTTAAGATGGTGTGGCATCTTTTGCCACTCGCTTCAATCCTTTATATTAAAGCCTATTTCTACCACAATTACAAAAGTGACAAAACCTGCCAGTTTTAGTCTGGCCATTTTAAAACACGCAAACCTAGGAAAATGAAATACTGCTTTTGTATAACCACCTCCTTAGGTGCAAAAAGTACACCGCGTTTCATTCTGTTAAATAATTGGGCACCACGGCTATAGTGGTATGAAGGAGGGGGGATCACAAGCACAAGATCGTGGGCAGGCCATTTAAGCCAAAATACGGTACATTGTCTAATCGACAAGTATATTTGCAACTGGTTGTAGCTTGCCCTTCAACAAAGACAACTGCTTACTTCACTTACTTGATAATCGTATTTGCAGGTAAAAATCTCTCCTTCTCAGTCTCTTGCTTTGCTACAGTTCTGTTCTAAATCAGTGCTACACCCATTTTATATCAACCAGAAAATCAGCTCCTTAGTGCAAATTAATGCTGGCATAAGTCTTCTCGGATTGGTTAAAACAGACTTATTATTAAAACCTTTCAGATAATTACTTTGTTAAAATGGTTTTTCTGTCGAAGTTTTCATCGTTAAGCTCAGGTCATCTGGCCAACACCAAACAAGGAGAGCATTATAAAAACTACAAGTTATCTGATTACATATAAACTTTTCATAGGAACAGAGAGGAAGGTACCAAAATTACATTTGGGAAATCCTGGCTTGTTGTCGATTTTGCAGAGGTATGAAGCTTCTTGTCTGAAAATGATTGGCTAAAACGTTTCCATAAATTAACTACGGACGTGATCGGAAAACTCAGAGGAGGGGAATTAAAAATGCATTACATAGTTCGAGGCTAAATTTAGAACAATAGGTGTTTCCTAAAATTTCAAATTAAGAGTTGTTCACCGACACGATTTTGGTTGAAAACATTCTAGAAGCGCTCAGGCAGAAGACCTGACGTTTTAGTATCGATATCCCTGAGCGCTTGTCAGCACAAACACGGTTTTGATATCTGTCGATAACCTCCAAATGACAATACTTGCATGAAAAGAAGTGTTACCGTGGAAATATACTCATTTAACGAAAAATACTTGGACAGCAAGAGGTGTTACTACGAAGATGCACGAATACTGGACATTTGCTTTGCACCGAACTCGTGTCAGGAGAAACTTTCTATCGATCATCATTTAAGGCAATTCCCTTGTCTTGCACTGCGCATCACCTATTGCGCATAACATTGCGACTTTAAATTTTACCAATTACCTGGAAAAAGGTAAAAAAGGCTCCCTTTATAGTCCAAATCATTTTAAGAGCGATTCTGATAACTCCTCCCGGTTTAAATGGTGCTGGGCTTAAAACACACCGCAGTCCCTTCGCGTAAAATGATCACTTGAAGCCAAAACTATATGACAAGCTAGAGATGCGTTTATAATGCGAAGGCGCCGTTGAACGGCGCATTCATGATATATTTGTGGTGATTATAATTAAGTATACTGTCAACTCCTATTGTTTCGAACCAAGGCTCAAGTTAACAGAAAGAGCTTGAAACATGTTTATGCCGTCAACACTTACCGGTGAGAATATTTTTTGGTCGATTCCTCTTCCGTTGCGAAACCATTTTTTCACTTGGTCGATTTACTTCCTAAACATTCTTTCAAGGTACTTGTTTTTTAAATACAGACCGACATTTCTAGTTACTCGAGGATTCGAATTGCAAAAGCGCGCCACATTCAAAAATGGTGGTAGACGTGAGAAGATAAAGAGCTTTGAATATTCTTTCTTTTATTGATTCCCGCTAAGAAAGGAGAAGCGGATAATGTCTGCAAAGGTGGGGAAAATGGGAAGAAAAGTTTTATAATTAACCGCATGAATTGTGCATGATATTAACCACCCTAATTAATTTTTTCTCACTGAGCCAAATACCAGCCACGGCTTTAACTTAAGATCCAAACCAGGTTCAGTAGCAATACCAAAGTCAGGAACGCAAAGACATGCAAATTCATTTATACCAAGAGCTGCAAGACTCCTTTTATGATCTGTTATTTTTACTTCCTTTTTTTTTTTGAGAATAATCACTTGATGGCATTTTCTAGTATATGTCAATCCATTGTAAATATTTTTAAAAGATGGATAAATAAAGCTTATTATTTCATTGATATAACAACAAAATAGCTTACTCGTAGGAATTAAAACAGTAAAACAACATTAATATTATATCATCTGGCGAGACAGAATTACTTGGCGTGATTTTCCTGTCATGAAAGCGATGATGATGATGATGTATCATTGTAGACTCACCATGCCAGATAAATATCGAACAGAGCGTATGATAAACAATGGTTACTTTAGAACACCTCATCCCATCACCAGCACCTACCCTCAACAGCTCAGGGAGCAACTAAACATGGCGATGGAAGCTGTAGAAGAGCGGATGTCTACCTTTATGCAAGCTGGCTCTGGGTGGACCCTCTCAAGAAATCATGCATTGGTGTTGGAAATGGTGGATTACCAACCCTTAGGAGGGAGTTCGTATATAGAACTCCCGAAAGATGTCTATGATACCAAAGCTATTGTCAATGTGAAAAATGATGACCAGGAATGTTTTAAGTGGTCAGTACTGGCAGCCCTCCATCCAACTTTAAAGAATGCAGAGCGAGTCAGTAAGTACCATGAGTATAAAGACGAACTCAATTTTGATGGAATCGACTTCCCCGTCACCATTGATCAGATTGGAAAGTTTGAGAAACAGAATCCAGGAATCAGTGTCACTGTCATTGGTATCGATAAACCAGAGAGAAGCAAAAAGGGAGTTGTCTTACCTTCGATCATGTTGCCTCTTAGAGTACCAGATCAGCAACTCGAAAAGCATGTCGTTCTGCTCTACTGGGGGCGTGAAGAACAGCATCACTACGCTCTGGTGAAAAACTTTAACAGACTTCTCTCTAGAACCAAGTCTCATCATGAGCAAACTTTTTTTTGTCAACGCTGCTTTCAAGGTTTCATACGCCCTGATTTACTTGAAAAGCATTCTGAAATTTGTCGTCATATCCCCATTCAAGCGGTTCAAGTGGTCGACGAAGAAATTTCGTTCAAAAACTGGGCAAAGACAGAGGAAAGTTTATTTAGAATCTATGGTGATTTTGAATGCCTTCTCCACGAATGTGAAGAAGGAGGCGACAACGAGAAGACCGTTAAAGTGCAAAAACATATCCCCTGCAGCGTCGCGTGGGTTTTAATCTCCAATCATCCTGAGGTAGAATCACGTAGTTTTCTGTATCGTCCCTCACCAAATTCAGACATGTCTCTAGAAGAGACCAGTGAGCAAGTCATTGACCAGCTGATGGAAAGTCTCCAGCAAATTGAAAAGGAACTGCTCCCTTACCAGCTAGAGGTTAAACCTATGGTAATGACTGAAGAACAGGAAGCCGATTTTCAAGCTGCTACTCATTGTTATATGTGTGAAGAGCTCTTCTATGAGAAAGAAGAAAATTGGTGCAAAGTACGCGATCACAATCACGCTACAGGAGAATACCGCGGAGCGGCGCATTTTTCATGTAATCTGAACAAGCGGCGTACAACACACATCCCGGTGTTCTTCCATAATTTGCGCGGGTATGATTCCCACCTCATCATGCAGGGGATTCACAGATATGCCAACAAGAAAAGAATAAGCGTCATCCCGAACAATATGGAAAAGTACGTTTCCTTTAGCCTTGGAAACTTAAGGTTTCTCGATTCCCTCCAATTCTTGGGACCGGGTGCTAGTTTGGATGCTTTGGCTGGAAATCTTACAGAGTTCCCACATCTCAAGGAACATTTTGAAAAAGTGTGGGGTTTTAACAAACCTGACGATGTCAATCTATTATGCCAGAAAGGTGTCTACCCTTATTCCTATATGAAGAATTTTGAAGTTTTTGAAGAAACAAGTCTACCCTCAAAACAAGCCTTCCACAATGACTTAACTGGAGATGCTATTTCCCAAGAAAAGTACGAGTTTGCACAGAGAGTTTGGGAGACAATGGGTTGTCAAACTTTGGGGGAATATCACGACCTCTATTTATTTCAAGATATCTTTTTGCTTGCGGATATCTTCGAGCAGTTTCGTCAAGTGTGTATTGAGAATTATGATTTAGATCCCGCTCACTATTACACAGTCCCTGGACTAGCATGGGATGCTGCCTTAAAGTTTACCAAAGTCAAGCTGGAAACCCTCTATGACATTGAAATGCATCAGTTCTTAGAGAAAGGCATGCGAGGTGGTATTTCGATGATTACCCATCGCTATGCTCAAGCCAACAACAAGTACCTAAAGGACTACAATCCTGAACAGCCTAGCAGTTTTAATATCTACCAAGATGCAAACAACCTTTATGGGTTAGCGATGATTCAATCACTCCCAGTGGGTGATTTCAAATGGATGGATGGGAAAGATATACAAAGCTTCAATGTCATGTCAGTAGAAGATGATGCTGACATTGGTTACTTTTTAGAGGTGGATCTAAAGTATCCTAACGATCTACATGATCTCCACTCAGATTACCCACTGGCTCCAGAAAAAATGTCGATTTCCCACGAGATGCTCTCCCCCTATCAGCAGCAATTAAAGGAAGACCTGGGGTATAAGCCGAGTAAAGTGGAAAAACTGGTACCCAATCTCTGGGATAAAGTCAAGTATGTGATCCATTACCGCAATCTGAAGTTTTATCTTACACAAGGTCTCAAGTTGCAGAAGATTCACCGAGCCCTACAGTTCAAGCAGCAACCATGGCTGAAACCATACATTCAACACAACACACAATTGAGAGCCGCTGCTGCCAATGAGTTTGAGAAAGATTTTTTCAAGCTTATGAACAACAGCGTATTCGGAAAAACAATGGAAGATGTAAGAAAACGTGTTAACATTAAGTTGATCACAGAGCCAGCTATGTTTAAAAAACATACAGCAAAAGTCACCTACAAAAGAAGTGTTGTCTTCGTGAATGATGAAGAAAAGCAGGAGTACTTTGTTGGATTGGAAGCAAAACGTACCTCTGTAAAGCTAGACAAGCCTATCTACACTGGCTTCACAGTCTTGGAGCTTAGTAAACTTCACATGTACGATTTTCATTATAATCACATAATGAAAAAGTACGGGCCTGAGAAAGCGAAGCTCTTATTCACCGACACAGACAGTCTCACCTATCACATCACCGCCGAAGACCTGTATCAAGACATGAAACAGGATCAGCACTTATATGACACCAGCAATTATCCCAAAGAACATTTTCTATACAGCACAACAAACAAAAAGATCATTGGAAAGTTTAAAGACGAGACGGGTGGACTCCCTATTGTTGAGTGGATTGGCCTCCGGGCTAAAATGTATTCCATAAAGCTTGAGGATGGGAAAGAGAAAAAAACAGGCAAAGGGATCAAGAAAAGTGTCTTAAAGAAAGAAGTGAGACATCAAGATTTCAAAGATTGTTTGATGGAGGAAAGAGAATTTCAACATTCTATGGTGAATTTTCGCAGTCATCAGCATCAACTACACACCATCAAGCAGACCAAAAAATCACTCAGTCCATTCGATGATAAACGGTATATCCTCGAGGACGGATTTACTACGAGAGCACACGGTCATTATCAGAATGGAATAACAAGACCTTCTCAAACATCTACTGAAGAAGAACCATCTGAGGAAGGACTAGCTAACTCCATGAAAGCGCTATCATTAGCAAGTACCAACAACACAAGTCTTTCAAAAGCAGACATCGTCATGGAATCTCATGGAAATCAGTCTAGTATAGACTTACCGTTAGCTCCTCCAACAAGTAATAAGTTTCATGCTTATCTCGCTTCTTTTTGGAAGTAGACTTTATTAAGGCTTTTTCATACTTTATTAAGGCTTTATTAGGTATCTCGTGGAGGTAAGGTAGCATGGAGGCGCCAACCCGCTTTAGCTTTTTTCTAGGATTTCTTAGGGGGTACAGTAGCTTGGAAGCCCGAACCCCTGATAAGAACATTTGCATGCTTTGTTTTTGAGAATAAATTAAGGAATTGTAACTGAAGGAAGTTAAAATGACGTATTAAACTAAGTTTAAAATAGTTAAAAACCTTGTGTGGTCTCTGTGTCTATAAATAGAAGGGGTATTAGGGAAAGGGGTCGTTGAAAATTTCGATTTCTTTAGTGGTTCACATTAGTAAAAAGGAACAAAAGAGAAAAATAAGAAAAAAGAGATTTTTATTCATCAAGTTACAAGTTCTGTTCTAAAAATGACTGTTCCTCGGAGTAAAGCTCTCCCATCGCATCTTAGCTATAAGGTACTTTGGTTTGGATTTACTTTGTGTCTTAGGCAATGTTTTAACTTTCTTTGCAGTCGGTTTCACTGTTTTCGCTTTCTTGGCGGGTGGCTTTTCACGTTTACGTTTGACTGGTTGCTTCGGCAATGGACATTTGACGTTTCCTGTAACGGGTGACTGTACGTCTGTGGTAACATGGGTTTTCTCTGACTGTGTACTGATGTGTGGATAACTTTTACACTGTCCAAACACATCGGAGATCACTTGTTTCTCACTTGTGGTTTTTGGCTGATTGTCAATCAAAATATACCCATAGGGTTTTTCGGTTTCTTTAACATACGCGGACATAAAGTTTTTGCGATCCTTAGTAAATATTCTCTCAGCAACAATTCCGATTTGTTTTCGATCGCTTGGGCTGCGGAACAACGCCAAATACTGCGCATTCCGACTAATATCTGTGTTGTATTTTCCCCTCGGAAACATATTCTGAAGGAGCAGGATCACACTAGCATTGCGATGTCTTCCTTGGGTAAACAATTTTGATAACACAGGACTATCGGTGGCTTGACTCATCAAATCATCAAACACCAAAATATTGTTATACTCAGGATTGATTTCATGGAGATCTTCGCTTAGGTCTGGTAACCCTTGGGTAAACAGGATCCTCTTTTTTAGCGCTCGTTTTAATGCATCATACCTTGGTTGCCATTGATTATAGAACCAGTAAATCTGTGTAGGTTTCTCACTTGGGTATTCGATACAATTCTTGGTTAATACTTGTTGCACAAAATAGGTTTTCCCACATTGCGTTGGTCCTACTACAAGCATGGAAAACATGTGATGAAACTTAAACTCGGGGTAAGTTTGTGTCTCTAAACACTGACGTGTTGGTAACTTGGTGACTTTGCATTGTTTCGGTTTCATACTTTGAGACAGATTAGACGCTGGAACGGTGGTTAAATTCTCTATACTTGGTGGAGGGAACGGTGCGTTCATTGTATATTGTGGCATTCCATGTTGAAAAATGTGAGGGGAATACAATCCTTGAGGTTGAACTCCTGGGAATACTGTTGGAGTCACTTGATGAGAAAATATCGCTGCCTTTAATAGTGGTTGTCGTTGCTCACACGATAACTTGTGCACTTGACGTAAATGATCAGCTAAGTATAGCAAATCCTGTCTATAACATAGCGGGCACACTCGTCTAAACTTGTAGGGCATGTTTACGCAATGAAGTCTTAACACAAATGAAAATGTTACATAAGTGTTTGATCTCTGTTTATAGTATTTAGGCCGGTATAGGCCGGTATAGGACGATGTAGGACGATGTAGGCCGGTATTGGCCGATGTAGGCCGGTATAGGACGATGTAGGACGATGTAGGCCCCTAATTTGCTGGCTTTGTTAGTTTTAACAACCAGAATTGAGAAATGTACTGCTTGTTATTAACAGCGTTTTGATAACGACAATTATAGTTTTTGGAATTTCCGCCTAGGTCAAATAAGTCACACTATATTAATTGGGGAGCAGAGGGATTAGGGGAGGGGTGAGTGAAAATAACGCTTATTGGTTCCTGCTTAGAATGGTTCACTTGCTTATTTCTATTCATAATGGTGGAATTTGATGAGGTACCGTACAGCTCCGACTCGAAAATTGCACTCGCTTTTCTTGTTACGAAAGTCTTCCAAAAAGGTACAATGTTCAAATGAGTATTAAAGTCATTAAATTGTTAAAGTCTTACATGATATGCTACGTCACGCAATGGCCAGCGACAAGCCTGGTGGCCTAAGTGGCAGCCACCCCCTCCCTCAGGAAAATTGGCAGCCCCGGTAAACTCGACTTTTGGCGATTCTTGTTATATTTTAGTATAATGACTGCTTTCTTGTTGTACACGTAACCGTCTATGGTCAAACTTTAGTAAGCGGAACATTCTACGATTCGCCGTGTCGAAGCTGACAGAACACTGTATTAGTGACTTACCTAAACTTATAAACGAGAAAAAGAAATGACCTAACTTTTGTTGACTTTTTCACACTTAAGGATTTTAGTTGTTGACTTTTTCACACTTAAGAATTTTATTTTGTTGACTTTTTCACACGTAAGGATTTTAGTTGTTGACTTTGACTGCAATCTAGTTTTCCTCTTTGAAAGACAACTGTATGAGCAATCCTCCATTCAAGTTTTGTTTCATAGTAAGCTGATCTGCTAACCCGTCCATGATTTCATCCATTTTGTTATAAGGCCTGCAAATTTCCTTCTAAACGTGAATTAGCATATGAAACCATATATACATACCCTTAAACTTCATTCCATGTGATAGCTATAAAAGATGTTACGATCCAGAAGGTCACTTCGTTGGATATGTACTTCTCTGCTTTCTAAATAATTTTTCAGATCTCATATCACTTAAATGGTTTACTAGGCATGCCTTTGCTTGTCTTAGATTGTTTTGCTGACTCAGGGAATTTTCATGTAAATTTTGAACTGTATGTGAATTAGCATATGAAACCACTCAGTGGAGCGCATCCATAAATCTCTTAGAAAACGTTACACACTATAACATGATTAATAGTATTGGAAAGACTTGTTTCTTCTTCTTTTATCATATACATAGCACAAAGCGCTACGCATTAGCACTAACGTTTAAGCTTACGGGTTTAGGTCTTTCTTTTTTTTCTTTCTAAGACCACTGGCTAACGTTCATTGTGTCATTAGGATGAGTGTTTTATGAAAGCTTCTTGAAGCCTTATTACTAGAATAGATCACTTATAATACTCCTTGGAACCTTAGGGGCCTTGTAGGGGCCTTGAGGACCTTAAGAATTTTTCTTAGGGGCCTTGGGACCTTAAGAATTTTTGTCTTGTAGTGTTTTTCAACACTTTAAAAAATAAGTTGCAGTAAAAGTCTGCACATTTTAAATTAAACTTGCAGTGTTTTTCAACATATTTGGATTTGTGAAATGTTTTATACTGTGCAATGGTCCATGCACGCTACAAATCAAAAATTAGAAGGAAATGTATGGGAAATAGGTCTAAAAAGTCTGCAGATTTTAAATTGAACTTGCAGTGTTTTACTGCATTTTTCAATTGGCGAAATGTTTTATACAGTGCAATGACAAATGCACACTGTAAAAATTTAAAGTTTGCGATATGTTTTGTACTGTGCAATAGCAGATGTACACTATGAATGTAACATAATAAATAAAATACAGTGTACATGAAACTAAAATACATGCAACAAAAATTACACGCGACTAAAAAATTACACGCGACTAAAAAATACACGCAACTAAAAAATTACGCGTGACTGAAATGACACGCAACTAAAATTACACGCAACTAAATACACGCGAGTAATAAAATCAGAGAAGCTCGCTGTCAGGTAAAAAAACTTTTAAAGCTGTTAAGAACTAAAAAGAAAGAAGAAGATCTATAGTAAAGTATAACTTTATTTTAAGTGCTTAGACTAGAAACATTTAATGACTTAGACAAATTTGGAGATAGATAATACACATGACTAAATTACATATAATTGCAATTACATGCAGCTAAAAATAAGACATAATTAAAATGACATGTAAGTAATACATACATACAATTACACACTATTAAAATTACATGCAGTAGTAGTAGTAATAAAAATTAACATAGCACAGACACAAATCCACACTATAGGCACACTACAGACACACTACAGGTATACCACAGGCACACTACAGGCACACCGCAGGCACACTACAGGCACACTACAGGCACACTACAGGCACACTATAGGCACACTACAGGCACACATACATAAATAGATGAATTCAAAAATACTAAGGCTCTTAAAAATAGTAAGATCAAAGAGAACCAAGTATCTCTGGTGAGGTGATTATATGGAGAGACCCTTCAAATAACTGAGACCCTTGAATGATAAACTTATGGAGAGACCCTTCCATTGAATGTTATCTCAGAAATGCTTCGATATCACGTGGTATGAATGGATCAATCAAAACCTTTTATTTTCATTAATATTTGCTCTGGGAGACTATATGGTATGGTTGAGAGACTATATTAATTGAAAGGGTTCTTTGTGCTTATATTAACTAAAAGGAGACTATAAGGTATGGAGGTTCTATGGTAAGAATTGGCGGGTCTCTGAAAGGAGACTATAAGGTATGGAGGTTCTATGGTAAGAATTGACGGGTCTCTGAAAGGAGACTATAAGGTATAGAGGTTATATGGGAGACTATATGGGAGACTATATGGAACGACTAAATGGTTATACTCACCGGGTCCTTCTAGGACCCGGTTATTATAATAGGTAAATTAACCAATCAGAATGCTGTATTTCCTTTTTTATGACCATATATGGTATTCCGGGTCTTAGTGAGCCAGAAACCCCATTATACCACTACTCTGTAGCAAGTGTTTATGTGTCACTTACAGTTATAGGTACTATAAAAATGCCACGAAACTCAATACTTTGCTTTTGACTTTGCTCGACAAAAATACCCCCAACAAATGCAAGAGCAGTGGTTTCAGTTCTTTCCACAAGTTCCTCATGTATGCAGAGTAAAAAAGTACTGAAAATGGCTAAACGTTAACATGGCCTTATGGAAATGTGGGCGGCAGTGCCAAAAAAAAGCAAGCCAGTTATTTTCTATGTTGTTTGTAAACAAAATGTGTATTTCATATAACAGCAGTAACACTGATCACCTCTAGTAACATAAACATTTGGAATTTAGGTCAATTGCAATGTGTATGTGGACCGCTAAAATGATCTATGTAACTCAACTGCTTACTTCACTTACTTGAAAATCGTATTTGCAGGGAAAAATCTCTCCTTCTCAGTCTCTTGCTTGGCTACAGTTCTGTTCTAAATCAGTGCTACACCCATTTTATGTCAGCCAGAAAATCAGCTCCTTAGTGCAAATTAATGCTGGCATAACTCTTCTCGGATTGGTTAAAACAGACTAACTATTAAAACCTTTCAGATAATTACTTTGTTTAAATGGTTTTTCTGTCGAAGTTTTCATCGTTAAGCTCAGGTCATCTGGCCAACACCAAACAAGGAGAGCATTATAAAAACTACAAGTTATCTGATTACATACAAACTTTTCATAGGAACAGAGAGGAAGGTACCAAAGTTACATTTGGGAAATCCTGGCTGGTTGTCGATTTTGCAGAGGTATGAAGCTTCTTGTCTAAAAATGATTGGCTAAAACGTTTCCATAAATTAACTACGGAAGTGATCGGAAAACTCAGGGGAGGCGAATTAAAAATGCAGTTCATAGTTCGAGGCTAAATTTAGAACAACAGGTGTTTCCTAAAATTTCAAATTAAGAGTTGTTCACCGACACGATTTTAGTTGAAAAGTCAAGAAAACACCCAAAAAACGGTAAAGATGAATAAGGTAGTCATTTCTTGAGAAATACCCACAGAGGATCAAATCGAGGTGAAAATATAAACCGCTGGAGAATCTCAACACAAACACGGCTTTGATGTCTGTAGATATTCCTAATCAAAACATAATTCTATGAAAAGAAGTGTTATCTTAGAAATATACTCATTTAACTGAAAATGCCTTGACAGTAAGAGCTGTTACTGGAGAGATGCACGAAAATGTGACATTTGCTTCGCACCGAATTCATGTCCGAAGAAACTTTCTATCGTTCATCAGTTAAACATATAGGTCATATAGGTTAAAACTTAGAGTGGTAAAATAACTTACTAAGATAATCGACTATAGAGCGCTAAAAACAGCTTCACTACAAACATGTACCGCAGCAAATGCCACAAACGGCTAACGTGACTTAGTCTTTCAATCAACAGATTAACAAAGAGAATTATATTGTACAGTCGACTCCCGATAACTCGAACCTTCAAGGGATTTCGAAAAAAGTTCGAGTTATCGGGAGTTCGAGTTTGCGGAAGTTCGAAGAAAATAGCCCAGAGTAAGGTAAAAAACAGTTTTTACTGCACAGTGAACATTTTAATCACAATTAATTGTAGAAATGTCAAGTGAAAATTAAAAGATACTTCTAGATTATAAATCAGACGTAACGTAACAAATAGCCTAAATAGAGCATGCGTTTTACTGTTTTGAGAAGTAGAGCTGTTTCACGTTAGCCTGTGACAATCAACATCAGCCTCAATTGGTTAACTATACTCCTCCAACACGTTAATAGGAAATCCAAAATTCAATGTTTCGGACGCCAGTACACGGCTTTTTTCCCGACTTTTTAAGGGCTCAAAACATGGTTCGAGTTATCGAGGGTAAAATTATATAGAAAATGACCTGAGGGGAAACGAAAATTGGTTCGAGTTAGCGCGAGGTTCGAGTTAGCGAGGGTTCGAGTTATCGGGAGTCGACTGTAGTTGGAAATCATTTTCTCATTTTGAGTGATGAAGTCATTTGATCACTATCACATTCTAGAAGCGCTCAGGCAGAAGACCTGACATTCTAGTATCGATATCCCTGAGCCCTTGTCAGCACAAACACGGTTTTGATATCCGTCGATAACCTCTAAATAAAAATACTTGCATGAAAAGAAGTGCTACCGTAGAAATATACTCATTTAACGAAAAATACTTGGACAGCAAGAAGTGTTACTGCGAAGATGCACGAATGGATATCGTCACCTCAGAAGTCTAGCCTGCGGGCAAGCTCTCCTCTTTGGGCGAGAAAAGCGAGTCTCGCGAGAACGCGCGAGCGAGCGGAGAAGCTGCGTGGGACAGAGGAAAGGAGAGCTTGCAACGATCTCTCCGCCCCTTTGCATGTGTGACAAGTTTGGTTCTCAGGGGGATCACGAGAACTTGTTTCACCCCTCGTTTGATTTAGTTCTCGCAAAGAGAATATTGCCAGCAGAGGATAAGTCGGACCGAGTTTATAGTTCTTGTGGAAGGAAAATGAAAACCCTTCATCAGTTAAATTCGTTTGTATCGAGCGCCTTGTTTAATTCTGAAAACGAGAAGAATGAAAGTGAAGAGAGATTCAAGCGCCCGGTTCAAGCGCTGCCTTCTAACGTCGGTTTCTTCGCACGATTGAATTCCACTGGGTAGAAAAATTCAGAAACATGTACTTGACAGTGTAGCTGTGTAGCTTAACAGTAAAGAAGGACCGTGAAGAGAAAGAGTTGTTAGCAACTGGAGTACAACTTAAGAGAACCAAGTCCAGGAAAACGCTATTCTCCAGTTCCGGAACGGACAAATATATACCGGCGGTAATGTTTTTGTTGGTAACTGC